TCTTTTCCCCAGAATTATGGCCAGCTGTGTGACATGGTCTCCTGGGAGGCCACACTTCTTGGGCACTATCTGGATGAGATGCCAGGAACTTGACAGGACAACAAAGACGCTAGACTCCCGGTCTTTGTGTGGGCAATAGCAAGACTGTTGCTTTGCTGTAAATGGTTCTTTTTCTAAGTGTCTATAAATAAGTGCTTCTTCCACACCACGGTTCTCGTCCAAATACCACAGACTGCATGCAGTAGCTTACTTGCCCTCAGCCAGCTCAGTGGCTCTTCAGCCAAAAGTTCCTGCCTTAACGGTGGTTGTGAGAGGGTTAACAGTGGACTCCACCCCTGTTGTTTGCACCCGCAAAAAGAAATGGCAGCCATGGGTCATGGTGCCTGTTTGCTCTATTCCATCCAGTTTCTATTCCAACAAAGAGCATTTAGTTTTAGCACTTAAGATGTGCACCCTAATTCTGGAGGGATGATTTTTGGAGGGGTGAGGAGGGTGAAGACTGTGGGATGAAGTAAATCTGGTATATTTTTTGCATTCTTTCATGCAAAGAACACAAATGCAGATATTAAAAAGGATTATAGCTCCTGAATCTCCCTTGGTCTCTTAGTAGGCTGGACAGCCTTAATTATGACATTTCTTCTAATGTCTTTTCAAGACTGACCAGTGCAGTGGCCTGCAAGGGTTCCTGGTCTTCCACAGCTTTGGAGGAGGCACGGGGTCTGGATTCACTTCCCTCTTGATGCAGAACCTCTCTGTAGACTATGGGAAGAAGTCCAAGCTGGAGTTCTCAGTGTACCCAGCCCCAGGGATTTCGACGGCAGTGGTGGAGCCCTACAACTCCATCCTGACCACCCACACCACGCTGGAGCACTCGGACTGCTCGTTCATGGTGGACAACGAAGCCATCTACGACATCTGCAACCGGAACCTGAATATCGAGCGTCCCACCTACACCAACCTGAACAGGCTGATAGGGCAGATTGTGTCGTCCATCACCGCTTCCCTGCGGTTTGATGGGGCCTTGAACGTCGACCTCGCAGAATTCCAGACTAACTTGGTGCCCTACCCCAGGATACACTTCCCCCTCACCACCTATGCACCCATCATCTCGGCGGAGAAGGCCTACCACGAGCAGCTGTCGGTGCCCGAGATCACCAACGCTTGCTTTGAGTTTGCCAACCAGATGGTGAAATGCGACCCTCGCCGAGGCAAGTACATGGCTTGCTGCCTGCTGTACCGGGGGGACGTGGTGCCCAAGGATGTGAATGCCACTATTGCAGCCATCAAAACCAGGAAGTCGATCCAGTTTGTGGACTGGTGCCCAACTGGGTTTAAAGTGGGCATCAACTACCAGCCCCCCACCATGGTACCTGGGGGAGACCTGGCCAAAGTGCAGCGGGCAGTCTGCATGCTGAGCAACACCACGGCCATTGCCGAGGCATGGGCCCGGCTAGATCACAAGTTTGACCTGATGTATGCAAAGCGGGCCTTTGTGCACTGGTATGTTGGGGAGGGGATGGAGGAGGGCGAGTTCTCTGAAGCCAGGGAGGACATGGCCGCTTTGGAGAAGGATTATGAAGAGGTTGGTCGGGATTCTCTAGAGGAGTATGAGGAAGAGGATGAATTTTGAACAACGCTCCTCTTAGGTATAGAAACATGGGTAGAGATCTACAAGGCAAGGCTGTCACCCCCAGGGCCTAAGCAGCACTAAACAATAGGCCTGTTATGGTCAGCATGAAACGAAATCGCGTATGGAGTCTCATGTTGGATTGAGAGACTTACTGTCTTGAGTGTTTAATGTTACAAATAAAACTTTGAATAGCAAACCTACATCTTTTGGTTGTGTCTGTGGCTAGGAAGATGCTATGCAGGTCTTGAGGAGCATAGATTCGCCTGTTGAACCTCCCTTCCCCACTTTGGTGCTGAAGGTCTAGAGAAATGGCTCTGTGCCTCTGAGGAAGGAGTATGCAAGAATGGGAGAGGGGAAGTGTCCTCCAGGGTAACTTTAGGATTATACAATAAATGAGCCATTCCCATGGGATGAGAAATGGGGCTACACAATGCACCGTGGGCAAGGCTGGATGTTGGCACTGCTCCTGGACTCTGCCATGCAAAGAATATACTGATTCAGCCTGGCCACGATCTGGTTCTCCCTCTGGGCAACGGTAACTTGGACATCTTATACTTCAGTTCTAAAATCAAATGCTGACTAAGGAAATGTGTCATCCAGGCATGTAGGAGCAGGAGCTGGCCCTAAGGGAGATTCCTTAAGAAATCTTACAAAACCGCCTGTTTGGGGGGGGGATGCTAGCTGGGCCTCCATAGCGGGATTTCTTCAGGGCTGATGTTCAGCCTTTCAAAAGCAAGGGTCTCCATTTGGGTACTGTAAGCTGGGGAGACGCAATTGCTGATCAAATGCAAAAACAATCCGTAGCAAAGGCCTCTCGGGAGCCTCATTTGAATGCCATCTGGATTAAAAATGTAGTGTGTGAAGGGTGCTGGGGTGGGGTGGAGAGGGGCAGAGCATTTAACCAATGCCAGTTGTTGCTATTTCTTCCTTCTGCTGGGCTGAAAGTCCTTCCTTCCCCACCCACCTCTCCACAGTGGTGTCCTCAATCTAAAACTAAAGCCTTTGAAAACTAGCACTTGAAACTCGAGCATAGATGTTGGGGTTGGAAGGGACCTTGGCAGATCATTGAGTCCGACCCCTGGCCCCAGGTGAGTGCTGGGGTTTGATGGACAAGCACCTGGCTGGGGTCAATCTCCTTTTTAAAGACCCCCAGGGCAGGGGAGAGCACCACCTCCCTCGGAAGCCCATTCCAGATTTTGGCAACCCTTACCATAAATATGTTCTTCCCAATGTCTAGCTTAAACCTGCTCTCTCTCAGTTTATCACCATTATTTCTAGTTTGCCAGGGCACCCCTTGGAGTAACAGCATCTCCTATCCCTTGCTGTTTCTCCCCCCCACCCGCAGTGAATTTATAGACGGCCAATACAATTTAAGCAGTTCCAATAAAAGTTAATGTGCCTTTCTAGGAATGTGCATTGCACTTCTGCCTTTATGAGTTTGGTTAAATGGCTCTGTATACACTTAATTACCACTGACAGTTGCTGACAATTAAATTCTGTTTGTAGAGCAGACAACCGCTATCTTAACAATGATGCTTGTAGCCCAACCTCTAATGCAGTGCTTCCCAAACTTTTTCTCAGCATGACCCCATTTATGGCTCCATTTCCTCAGCATGACCCCACACTCCCATCCGCTGATGTTGCAACCCTACTTGGGGTTGCAACCCACAGCTTGGGAACTACTGCTGTAATGACCTGGATGACGGGATCAGGTCCACACTGCAAATTTGCAGAAGATGCCAAGCTGGGTGCTGTTGCAGACCCTCCAAAGGGTAGGGCTAGGATCCAGAATGGCTTGGATAGGGTAGAGAAATGGTTTGTAATCAATCGGATAAGATTGAACAAGGACAGGTGCAGAGTCCTGCTCTGGGAGCAGAACAACTGGATGCCCAAATACAGACTGGGGGGAAGACTGGCCAGGCTGCAGTACCCCAGAGAAGGACCTGGGCGTTATAGTGAACTGTGAGTCAATTGTGTGCTGTTGCTGCAAAAAAAGCCAAAGGCATCTTGGGTTGTATTAACGGATGTGCCTCTTGCAAGGCAAGGCAAGTGCTGCTCCTGCTCTATTCATTACTAGCGAGGCTTCATCTGAAATCTTGCAACCAGTTTTGGGCTCCATGCTTCAAGAAGGATGTAGACAGTTTGGAAAGAGTCCGGTGCAATGCAGCAAAAGTGATCAGGGGTTCGGGAGATGAAACTTATGAGGAGAGGCTGAAAGAACTCAGGTTATTTAGCCTAGGGAGGAGAAGACTGAGGTTGTGGGGGGTGGGGTGTGCTGATAACAGTTTTCAAATACCTGAAGGGAGATAATACAGCGAATGGAGATGGGCTTTTTGCCCTTTGGCTGTAGGGGACAGAACTGGGGGCAACGGTCTCTTGCTGCAGCAGAGGAAATTTAGGTTGGAGATGCAGAGGAGCGTTTGATGAGAATGGTCATGCATTGGGACAGGCTGCCTTGTGGCATCTCCATTACTGGCATCTTTTAAAAGCAGTTTAGGCCTGGGATGGTTCAGGTAGAGATGATCCTGACTTGGGCAGGGGGCTGGACTGGATGACTGTGAAGTCCCTTCCAGCCTAACTTTCCTATGAACTTCATCTTCTCAGTACTTTTGTTAGTCTCCCCCACCCCGCCCCCCAAAGCAGAGAGGGAGGGAAGGGCATGAAATACCACATTTTCTTACATATAAGGCATATCTTTCCCCCCCACCCCAAATCGGAGACCTGGTGTATGCCATGCAGCTGCCAAGCTGATGGAGTCTTGAATTAACCTTCTCACTGCTGTAGCTGTTGGCTGCGCACTGTCCCTTGTGCCTGAAGCAGCAAGTGAGCTGCTTGTAGTGTCTTGATGAGATTTGTGATGTGGCAACAACACTTCATTTACAGGGACTTGTATAAGGAACTGCTCACAGGCAAGGGACAACAATCCTGCTACTGTCCTTGCGAGCATCTGGGGTCTAACTTTGCATGACACAGAGTAAGTCCTCCTGGGAACATTGAGTGTCCAGGAAAAGTAGCGGGCGAGGAGACGATCTGGGTGAGGCAGTGGGCATGGGGAAGTTCCCGGTGCCACATTCCCTGGACACCCTATCTTCTCCGGAGGGCTTACTCCATGTCACACAGTTAGCCATAACACTGGAAAAAATATACAGGAAACCACTGCCTTCCAAAAAACAAGCATCTGTGTGTTATTTGGGGGCATGTCGTATACTGTACAGGAAACCAAATAAACCTCTTGATGGCAGCAGCATTCTCCAACAGCAGTCCCCAGGCGATGAGACCCTGTGCTAGCAAGAGCGTTGTGGCTTCCTGTAGGTTTAGCAATCTGATGACTTGGTTCTGCAGCTGGACCAAAACTACATCATCCGAGTAATTCAACAGAAGGCTTTATTACTAATTAGTTGTAACAGAGGTGTTTACAAACCACTAAGAGGCTTTCTTAGACCTGGAGCTGGCTTCACTTGGTGCCGTAACAGCGGATTGTGTTTCAATGAGGGAGGAAAGAGTTAAGGGCTCCCACTGGCAGCTTGCTCCTTTTGTGGTCAGGCCTCTCTTTCTGGTGGGGGGTAGCCCCTTCCTTGGATCTGTAACAAACCATAACTCATGTCAGATGGAGAGAGAGCTATGAGGCAAGGTGGGGGGGAATGAGTTACTCTCTCCCTTGAATCCATTCGGGAGTAAGAAGCTCTCCCCCTAGTCTCTTCCTTGCAATCAAAGCCCTCACTTCCAGTTTTTTGCCACCAAGTGCCTCACTTTTATAGAGAAAGAAGCTAGTATGTCTTAAGCAGGCTAAGCTGTGATGGAGTGGGCATGTCTACACATTCATTCATGTGCTTTAGGCAATGCACATTAAATCTAGTACCTCACAATGGAGGTACGAGAAAAATGTGCATACGCCTATTTTAATGTGCATTAGTGAAAGAGCAGGGGGTTGTTGTGACACTTTAAAATAGGCTAATGCTCATTAAAGCACACGTGTAGACATGGCCCAGTGACACTTTCAACCAGCCTTGCAGGATAGACATGCACTTATTAGCCTAATTTTAAAATAGACTTGCCTGCCTTTAGCCCTGTTGCTTGGGGCTGGTGGTAGGAGTGCAGATGCTTGCTTTGCAAGGTAAAAATACCCTCAGCTTGAGTGGAATATTGCAAGGAAGAGTGACCGCAGGTCTTGTGCTGAGGCACTATAGGAAGCACGCTTGACTTTGCTTGTAGGCTTCTAGCAAGACTGAGGCCCTTTCCACAGAAGTTTTTTGAAGAGCAGGTTAGGCACATATTTGTCTAGGACAGTGGTGCTTAACCGTTTTGCCCCACCCTGCTCTGGTCCAGCCATGCGGGGATAGCGGGGGCATGGCCTAGCCCTGACCTAGCCATAAGGGATGGAGGGGCTATGGCCCCATCCAGCTGCATGGGGGACTAGGGCCGGGTAATAACCCCATTGGGCTCTATAGGGTTTTGGAATTTGGCAGCAGGCGAGGGATGGCTGTATTAAATCCCACTGTTCCCCCCATTGCCAAATTTCCCGACCCGTGGAGAGCCCCATGGGCCAGATGCCATAGCTCTGAGAGCTTGATTTGACCTACAGGCCAGGGGTTGAGTACACCTGGTTTAGACCTGGATGGTCCTGCCTTGAGCGGGAGGCTGGCATAGATGTGATGCCCTATTTTCCTATGATTCGGTGGTGGCCTGCCTGTTTCAGGTACTTGGGGTCTTTATGACCAACATCTCTGAGAAGCAGCCTTTGGAATCAGTTCATGGGGAACTGGGTTTAGCAATGACGTTGAGGTGAGCACTGATGTTGGTACCTTAAACAGGCTTTTGAGACATTTCAGGAGCTGGCTATGGGCTGGTCTTCTCAAGGGAATCCACTTTCAGCTACGTGGACACAACTACAACAAGGGCAGAGGTTGGATTATTTCAGCTGTGTTAATGGCTCCTGGATCAACAAAACCCCTGAGGACAAATGTGATGCAAAGCAGCTCTGTTCTGCGGGGTTTCCATGAAATCCAGGCAGTCGGCCCTTCTGGGTAGCTTCTGTGATGCTCTGCCTAATGGGCCGGCACATCTCAGCAAGCGTGCGTCATACCTATATCCCTATACGCATGAGGTTTCACTCCTGAGGGCTCATTGTGCAATAGCTGATGACAGAGGATGGTGTGAAACCATTCCAAGTTGTGCCTCATTGCTGGGACTGAGCTTCTGTGAGCATCAGCTGCAGAGGCGTTTTACCCGACTGAGGAAGGGGCAGCACAGATGCCACGTCGGGGATTGCAGCACTGTGGCATCTCAGGGTTTGTAGTGACAACTTTTGTCAAGGAGAGGCAAAACAGTGCTGTTTCTCAGGTTGAAATGACACGTAGACCATATTAAATCACTTAAAAGGTGAGCATCTGCACCATAAGCAGTGGGGGAAAATATTATTTTGGGGACCCCTGCCCTTCCCTTCCACAGGCCCATTGCAGGGCTGGCGCACGTTGGTGCTGTATATGTCAGCGGAGAAGCGGCTGCACACCTACTGGTGCTGGGCACTGTGGGACGGTGGCACCATGGTGCTGCTGGTGTCACCAGCTGCCCCGTTAGCCCCGGCTTTCCGCCACCTATGACCTGCACATTAAAGCTTGTTGACTCATGCTAAGTCCCCTATGAGCATCTAAAAGTCATGCCACTTCTCACACGGGTTAACTCTGAGCTGTCCTACCTAGCTTCTGTTATGGCAATTTCAGTCTGCTCTTCAGAGATGAAAGCAGCAGTTTGCAGTCCCCCAGTGTCCCAGGATGCAATGCTCACAGCCCCCTTCCCACCCAGAGCAGAGGGAGCTCAGGTGTCCTGGCTCCTAGTTGTGGCCCCGCTCACCAGCACTCTGGAGGCAAGTCAGAGCTGTGCAGACAAGATACAGTATGAACCCTCAATGTGAGACTGCTCCCAGCGTGCCCTAACTTTAACACCGCATAACAGCCCACAGATTTAGTATGGTCTAAGTGTACTGGGTAACTTCACCCTCAGTGCTTGTTGAATGACAACATTACACCACTTTAAGTAGTGGTCTGAAGTTAAACCAGTGTTTGCACACTCCTATTTGGGTTTAAGAAACATCAGTTAGAAATAGTAGGGGTGCACCGATAACGATTTTTTTGGCCAATTATTAACCAGCTATATCGGTCGATACTGTTGCATCCATCTGGTAAGTCTGTGGGGGGGGGAAGGGGCATGGGGGAAGGAAGGGGCATGGGGTTGGGGGGTGTTGGGGCAGGGACAGGTGCTGTCCAGCCAGGGCAGGGAGTGGGACAGAGCTGCGAGTGGCTCATCTAGGGGGTGCAGGAGGGCAGCTCCCACTGCTGCTTGCACCCCTGGGGGAGGCGTGGGGGGCATGTGCCCCACTAGATTTGTGCATAGGACGAGGGCGGGCTGCCTGCTGTGGGCCCAGGGTCAGGGGCTGCACTGGCCTCTTCCCAGCAGGGGGACTTGGCTGGAGCTGCACACAGGGCAGGCAAGTGGCAGCGCTGGGAGTGGGGCTATGGGAATATTGGCATAGCTGTAGCCCACCCTCCCAGTGCCGCCCGCTGGCAAGAGGCCGGTGCAGCCCCCAGTTCTGAGCCCGCAGTGGGCAGCCCACTTTGCCCCATGCACAAATCCAGGAGGCACATGCCCCCTATGCCTCTCCTGGGGGTGCATGCAGTGATGGCAGCCGCCCCCTCTCCCTGCCCCCCATGCCTCCAGGACAAGCCACTTGTGACTCTGTCTCACTCCCACCCTGACTGCCCAGTGCCTGCCCCTGTCCCAGCCCCAGTCCCCTCCTGCACTGTGGGGGTCTCAAGCTGCCCCCCCAAACCCCTAACCTCCCCCATGCCCCTTCCCTCTCACAGACTTACCAGCCTGACACTGTTCTCCAAGCTGCCCAGCTGCCTTCCTGGCTGCCTGCGCACTGCGGCCGCTCACATGCACGCGGCATTTATCAGTGACATTATTGGCTATGCTGGCCAAAAAAACCTGATTGCTAATAATGTCAATTTTCCTTTTATCAGTGGATCGATATATCAGTGCACCACTAAGAAATAGTTCTCTCCAGTGTGCGCTGCCTGGTTTAGCTACATTGGTTTTAAACACAGAGTTACCAAACAGGTGCCACTTTCTCATATAAGCAATGCCTGAAGTGCCAGTGTATTAAGGGGTGCCCAGTAATATACTGGGCTATCTCTGTATCTCCCCTAAATAGTATCAGGCTTGCTGAAGCAGGAATCACTCTAATAAATCCTAACACTGCTGCACCTATGAAGATTTTTGTTTAGCTCATGTGGTTGGAGGCTGACTTTTAGCCTCACTGGCAACCAAAAAATACCCTGATCATAGATTTGCTGTACTTGGATGGAAAGCAGTAGCAGATGCTGTAGTATCCTGGGAGGCAGGTGGGAATTGTTTGGCTGCAAGGGGGTTTGACCACAAACACTGGATCTGACTTAGAGAAACTTGGAAGATATTGATGTTCCTCCTTTTCTCATCAGACTATTGAGTCACTACTATTTTCTTCCTCTAAGTTAAATATTTTGCAAGAGAGGGCAGTTGGGTGCTGGGCAGAGGGGAAAGTTTATCTGACTTGGCTTTCTGTCCGCTCCATCTCCAGAAGTGGTAACTTCTTACCTAGTCCTGGTAGGGTGTGAAAGTGGAGATGGGGGTATAACCGTTTCATTCTCTTCTCAGCATAGTTTCTGGAAAACTGCCCTTCGCTTTTGAAATCGGTGTCTGTGGAAAACCTGCTACGTGGAACAGAGAACCGTGCTCAGCAAAGCAGCACCAATTTAAGGGCGAGAGCCCTGGAACAGATGTTTTAGGACCAGGGGCGTCCTGTTGCTATCAAATAGTCATTTGAATCTTTCTTGGCTGTGGTGTATTGTGTAGTAAGAAACATGGGGGTTCCCCTTATGAATGAAGATGGAGCTGGGCAAGTGAGCTCTTGCAGGGATTGGTGTGGTCTGCTCTGCAAGAGGAGGCTGGCCTGCAACACAGGCTTAGAGATCTCTGTAGCAATCCCCAGTGCTGCACACAGCTCAGGAAACATTGCTGGTTTAGGAGCAAGTCTAATTCACTGCAGCATCCTCCCTAGGATCAGCTGCTGGATCGGTAACAAGCTACTGGTACCAGCTAATGCAGTCCTCTTTTTAGCTGAAGTGGTTGCAATGCTAAGAGCATCAAGTGAACACCCTCTGGCCCCATGCCTGAAGGCTCATTACAGGAGCTGTAAGTACCAGGGGGTTGGCCTAGATGACCTATGGAGGTCCCTTCCAGCCCCACTTCTCTAGGATCCTGTGATTTTTCAACCAGGGTGCCATGGCACCTTGGGGTGCCTTGAGATATCTTCCCTTCACAAGGTTGCATGTACAGACATGATTCACAAGATGAACCCAAATTTTCCATATAAGAATTGACAGTGCATATTAAAACCATTCTGATCTGCTGTGGTCTTTCGGAGGTCTTTGCAACAGTGGAATTGCTCTGTTATTTTCCTGTAGTCAAAAAGTGAGTGAGAACTAAGAGCTGAGGAATGCCTTGACTATCGAGAGGTGCCTTGAGTCTATGGAGGGCTGCCTCGAGTCCTAAAAGGTTGAGAACCACTGGCTTAGATGCATGAGAAACTGCGTGGGGACAAAGCATACATGCAAAATTGCCAGCTTGTGTCCTGCTAATTTTCTTTCACCAGGGATCGAGTATATTAAGAGCACAGCAGGCATGTCTGTAGACACGCACGCTTGTCACCTTTAAAGTGCTCGGCAGGGTTTCCTCCCCTTCCTACTGAAGCTCAGCATCCTGCTGCTGCCCTGTGCCAGGCTCCTCTTGGAGTCACCAGACCAAAGGCGTAATTGCGGATTGATCTAGCACAGCGGTGCTCAACCTCTTGGCCCTGTGGGCCAGGGGCTGCTTTGGGTCCCGCTCACCAGTTTCGGGTCCTGTGCTGCTTTTGTGTGCCAGGACCAGGCCACAGGTGCCAAGATCAGGGCCCTGTGCCCAGCCTTGAACACTGGGATCTGGCTTTGGGCTCCGCACTGCCCCTGCCCGGCCCTGCAAGCTGGGATAAGGGGATCGGGGCCCCATGCTGTACCCCTACATGCTGGGATCGGGGTCTTGCTCTGCCTTCCTGCTAGAGCCATGCTCTTTGGCCCATGGGTCTGGAAATTTGGCAGCAGGGGGGCATTGCCACCAGTCCCCCACCACCAAATTTTCAGACCTTCGGGGAGCCCCACAGGCCAGATGACCTGGCACCCCTGATCTAGCAAGATCCCTCTTACTGGACTAGCAAGGATTAAATGTAGTGTTAAAGAGGAGGTGCTATAGCTTTACCTGAACTGCAGCGGCTTCCCAACCTTTCCCACAGCAAGGCTGTTCCTCGGTGCCAGCAGCTGGTTTGGTTGCCTCTTCAGGACGGGGAAGTGAATCTGGCTCTTGGAGCTGAAGCTCTTTGGAAGAAATAGGAAATAAAATGGATCTGGAGAGAGATGAGTGTCATAACCAAACCTGCTCAATAGTAGGACGGGGAAGTGTCCTGCAGGCATTGAAGAAACATCATGTTTTCTGAACCAGGGAAGGGAAGGTGTGGGTGAGTTAGGATGGGAAGAAGCAGATGGGAACACAGAGGAGGTTGACCTGCAATAAAGATACTAATACAGTCTCACCAGCCCTTGGCATCCAGAATCAGGAGCTGGGTGCCAAAAAGCATGCGGCTTTTTAAAAAGTAATAAGCCAACTTATTTAACTTGTTTTCTGAGCCTCAAGGGTACACTCCTTATATGCTTTCAAGTTTCATGAGTGCTAGAAATGTCCTACGTAACGGAAAGCTATGATTCTCATCCAATCACATGATGAGAATTGGCCATACCAAGGAGATTTCCTTCCAACTCCCCATCCATGTAGGAGTCCAATGCCTAGTTATAATTCAGGAGTGCCTGCCTTTCACATGAAGATCTTGGCGCTCTCCACCCGAACCACGACTTTGATCTCTTTGCTTTCACTTCACGAGCAGTTCACACAAACAAATATTGACGTACGTATTGTTGGTGACCAATCGCACGTCACAAATTGCAAAGAGCCCAGGTGAACACAACCTGGACAATAATTTGTTGCTGCTGTTTCTCCCAGACTAGAAGCCTGTATGGATATAAGCAAGCAGGACATGTATGTGAACTGAAACCTAGTCATGCCAGTGTTCATGAAGAGCAAATTAAAATGGGCATAGCAAGCTCAAAGGGCAAAGAAATAGGATTTCTTGAAATTTAGTGTTTTTGGGGTTTTTTTTTTGCAAATCTTGCTTTGCTGTATGCACACCGCGGTCATTGGAGACTACAATATAATCCAGGTAGAACAGTAATCTCTCAATGTTCAGGACTAAATGCAAAACATATCCGTACAACTTGGCTTTCCCTCTAACACACGCACCATTTCTATCGTTACTTCTACAGGTAGAGAAAGTGGGGAGGAAGAAATATGCGGTGGGGGGAGGGTATTATTTTGTTACTGTTCTTTAGCTTTTGATTCTCAGATAATAGAGGAGTGGGAGCCCCAGAAAAAACACAGTATTTGTATTTACACACACACACACACACACACACACACACACACACACACACACACACTCATTTATTTCTATTTCATAGTTGGAGAAATGGAGGCCTATAGATGAAATTGAGACCCAAGGTCACACAGGGCACGTCTACACATGAATTTAAGTTGGCTTAAATTTAACGCACATTAAACTAATGTGTATTAAGTGGGGTTTAGCAGGTGTCTATGTGTGGTGGGACTTGGGATGGATTTTAGTCCCAGGTTGCTTCAGCCCTGCCATGTGCCGCTGTGGCCACCGGCGGGGGGTCCCGCCCCTGGGCACATGTGGACACATGACTGCCAGTACTTGGCAGCCATGCTGAAGCCAGAGCCAGCTGCCAGCATTTGGCAGCCATCTTGGAAACATACCTTTGCCCTCTGATCCCTGGCCAGCCCCTTCTCTGCCCAAGAGCCAGGTGCCCAGCACAGGGGCAGCATGCAGCAGCTCCCTCCTTGCCTACCTTCCCTTCCTGCATCAGGGCTGCTTCTGCCTCTGCCAGTGATGCCCAGCACCCTGCTGCTCCAGCCCGGCCCCTGCCAGCAATGACCATCGCCCTATGCTCCTGCTAGCCATGGCGCTGGCCCTGATGGCCCCAGCAAGCACCCCCTTGCCCAGGTTTCAGGAAAGTCATGCATCCACCAGCAGGAGCCAGGGCACTGGCTATGGGAGGCCCTGGCTGAGCCCCTCCTCCTGCACTCCCCGTTCCAGCCCACCTGTCCTGCTGCCCACATACCCCCTACCTCCTGTCCACCCCCAGCACCACTCTCAGGACAAGCACATGGCTGGAACAAAAAAAGTTTATTACCCTAACAACACCCACCCCCATCCCTCCCTCTTCACCCTCAGCAAACAGTGCCCCTCCACCACCCGCTCCACTCACCAATAATAATTAAAAAAGGCTTATAAGTTGCAAACTATACAGAGAGCAGGCCAGCTCGGGGGGAGGAGAGGCACCCAGCCAGGAGTCCTGGGACTGGGCTCTAGCCAGCCCCCTAGTGGCTGGGCCAACCCAGGACTAAATTCCCTGCATTAATGCGGAGTAACACGTCTACATGTGCGTTCATCTGCATTAACTAATCCTGCTTAAATTGATACTTGGTTTGGGCAAGTATCAAATTTAGGCTCACATAGCCTAACACTGCCATTTTTTGGCTGCATTAAAGGTATGCACAAATAGGAACGCTCCCCTAATGCTGCTTAAATTGGGCTAATCTGCATTAAATGACCATGTGTAGACATGTTCACAGAGAATCAACTGTACAGTTATGACCAGATTCCAGGAGTCCTGATTCAAAGTCATCTCCTCTAGCCACTTGCTACCTCATTCAAAGCTGTGACCTTGATCCTCTCACTTTTAACACCCCAAACATGGAATCCCTTCCTAGTCATTTCTAACAATACATGTCTCTCGTGTAATGATCATTAGAGAAATATTTTACCTTTCCTACTTGTTCTTTGGTGAAAAACTTCATGGGGGTATCCACTTGGGGACTGAGAGTCAAGTCGGGAAGGGGGTTATTGGTCGCTATCAATGTTGTCTTGTCTTGATTGAACTGTGATGATATGGACATGAGAGCTGTGTATTTTCTGCGGTTATCAAGACATTCCTGGAACCTGTCATTGTTGAATGGTACAAAGTACTTCTCCTGTATGGGGCCAAAGTAGAGAATGGATTTAGAAATGCCAGCTGTGTGTATTTCAGGAGATTACTGCTTGTTCATACCAATGAGAACTGTATTTCTGAAGAAAATGTACAATGGTCTAAATACAGGGTATGCTCGCCACTGCCTTCTGCTGGGTAGCATGGGATCAATAGAAAAACCCACTGCCCACATCATCGCACTGAGTGATGATCCCCCTACCCCATGGAGGAGTTAGGACAAACTGACCCTGGGACATTCAGAACTGCAGCAAAGATTCCTACTAACTGACCCACGGTAGAAACGACTTTACCTGGAAAGAAGGTAAGAGCTGAATGACGAAAACTTTGACATCAAGGAAAAATGGATCCATCGACAGAACACAATTGACATCATGAATAAATTCCTTATCCTGGACCCCACATAGAAACCCTCTGGCTTTGCTTTACCAAGGTGGAGCTGGACAACACTGAACAGAGTTTGTACTGGACAAAGTAGAGGTAACTACGTGCTACACAGGTGGGATTTTATTAAAGACCCCAAGTGTGAGTGTGGTGCAATTCAAACTCTAGCACATATCATGGAGGAATGTCCTATTTATGATTTTAATGGTTGCATTGAAGATCTGCACCAGGCTATTGATGATGCCTAGCAGTGGGTATCAAATCTAAACCTGTCACTCTAGCCTTTTCCATGGGTGCCATTGATTATAGGTTGCTTCTAGGTTGATCTGTCATTCAGTTGCCATATCCCATATGAATAAATAAATAAATAATCTGGAAATAGTAATAGCCATGAGTTGGCTCACAAGAGGATAACAGCCTAACACTTGCGTTCAGGACTGGGGGGAGCCAAATGCAGCACGTACTACAGGATGTGAGGTGAAGGTATCATTTGGTCGCATCAGGTTGGCTGCACAGTTCCAACCTCGAGGCTGGACTACTGCAGCGCACCCTCCATAGGGCTGCCCTTGAAGGCCGTCCAGAAGCTGCAGAACGTGGCATCCCACCTTTGGATGGAGACGGGTTGCCAAGAGCACATAACCCCAGTGCCTTAGGGCGCCTATCCATGAGCAGCAAGGCTGCTCCAACGTCGCAGTGGAGCAGACTCGATTAATTGAGTCTGCTGGGGTGTGGTAATTACCGCACTCCAGCAGCTTCCAGCATCTCATGTAGCAGCATCCTTGAGGTTAAAAATGGAGGCAGGGCACTTTAGCTAAAGCTCATTCAACTGGCTGTAGTTGAAATGCCATTGCCGCCATGTTTAAACATGGGGATGCTGATACACGAGATCCTCTTTGTGCTTTAATTAGAGTAGCTCTTGAAGCTGCTTTAATTGAAGTGCCTCTCCCCCACTCCTGAAACACATGTACAAACACCCCCAGGGTCTGCACTGCCTCCCAATAGCTTTTTGGGTGCAATTCAAGTGCTGTTTTTGACCTGTAAGTCACCCAACAGTCTGGGCCCTACATACCTAAGGGACCACCTTACACCTGATCATGATCCCTAAGGTCACCTTAAAGCGAGAGGCGTAACAATGCAGCTGCAGCAGCTGCTGCACCCAGGGGCAGCAGCAACATCTGCTTGCCACCGGGGCAATTGCGCAGCTGTGCTGACAGCTGTTTTTTCTGCTGCCTTCCCCCGGTCCCAGTTGGTGCCCAGGGTGCGTGTCCTGGTCACCCCACCCTAGTTGTGCCACTGCTGAGAGCAACCTCCTGTAGGTACCATCGGTACGTCTGGTCTGCTTGGCCGAGACACATCTGAGGTTGTTTTTGGCACTTGCCCCTCTGCTAGGGTTGCCAATCCTCCTGGACGGGCCAGGAGTCTACTGGAATCAGCATCAAACTCCCGGTGACTATTGAAACCAATCTGGGAGATTTTAATAGGATTTTAATAGGATATTTTAAGTGCGAAAAATCTCCCTGAATAGCTTCAGTCAGAGTTGGCAAGCATGCCCCGGAAACATGGTCAGACCTTCCTCTTTGGGAGAGTGTCTAGCAAACAAAGTTGGGCTGGGATACTGTTTAGCAGGTCTCTCTCTGTTTTACGATGACAGTACAGTTCCCTTTTAAGTTGCTTTGTTCTCCTGTTGTTTCTCTGCCATAATCGTTATTCTGGCCTCTTTCTGCAAGCAGCCTAAGCCTGTCTTGGGAAGGGTGTGGGGTATTGCAAGCCAACAAGTAAATAATAAATGTCCGGTGCTGTGTACAGAGCTATATTTGTTGCAGGGTTACAAGGTGCTTTCAGGGTCTGGTGCGGTCACCTAGGAAGGAACTCAGCTAGACTTCCCCGATTGGGGCAGATCTGCAGCCGGGAGCGTGGTGGTGTGGCCATACTCTCATTTGATAGTGGCCTGCTGAGAGGGCAGTCTGATGTGCGGAGAGCTGGAGGAAGGAGTTCATTGCCGAGAGCTCTGGAAAGCATCGTGGATAAATGGAGACTGACCTTGACTGCTCTAATGGAAGGACCTCTCTGAAGGAAGCTGAGCAGTACCAGAGACTAGACAGCAAACTGTGAGTATGGCCAGGGGGGTCCAAGCAGGGAGAGGCCAGCAGAGCTGAGGATAAGCCTGGGGAGAGCTTGAGAAAAGGCACCGCAGCAGCAACTGATTGCATTTGCATAGAGCCCGTAAGGCTCTATGTTTGCTGTTTAAGCCATGGGACATGGAAGTGGCTGAAGGGGAGGAAAGGAGCTGCTGAAGATGCTCCACCGAGGGGTCTAGATTAGTGCTGTACTGGTGGGTTGACAGAGGCCCTGCAAATGGTGACCAGGGTGTCAGAGACAGGGTAGAGGGGCAAGAAGCCCAAGAGACTGGGCAGAGCCTCCTCTGGTTCTCTGGAGGCAACCTCCCCCAGCATAATAGTACCATCAAAGGTATGGCAGGCATGACAGGGGGTACCCAGGGATGCCAGGGCATAAGGAATGGGATTAGAGTGGCCACATGGAGGTGCCATATGCTGCTAGGGGTGGACCCATTGCAGGCACCAAGACCTCTGAGAGGTCTCAGAGCTCTTTAGAAATCCCAGCTGTTAAGGCATTTCTTCTTGTTTTGGGAGACTTTTTTTTTTTTTTTTTTTTGAATCTGGACTCTGAAGAGTCAGGGAAGAGACAGTCACTTCAGGGATAAGGAGCAGAGGCATGTTAGCCATATGGGACATCTGGTATTTCCTTCCCCCACCTGCCTTATTTGTGAATTTAGAGCTGGTGGAGGCTGCAGATTGACATCCAGCCCGATCCCAGCTAGCAGGGTGGAGTGGAGGCCCAATCCCAGCATGTGCAGTCGAATTCCTGGGGCCCAGTCCTTGTGCCCAGGGCCCAATCTGGCCCATGTCGCTCATTTGGCCCGTAAGGCTAAAAGGTGGAGTGCCACAGCTGTAATACAAAGCGGGGTTTACTAACAAAGAGTGAGACCCATTTCACTTACCAGATCAGGAGAGAACGAATAATGCTCCTCATACTGTAAGGTAAATTTGCTCATATTCTCCTAGATCACGCTATGAAATGAAAATAATGCAGTTTGTTACTGAGCATGGCAGCAGAAGCCCTTGTCACAGCAAAAAGTGCGGTGCTAACCTCTGCAGGCATTGTGGACAAAAGACAAGGTCCAAAGTGTATGCACAGGCACCAAAACTCCTGCCAAAGGTGTAGGCAATTGCTGATGCATGAGACAGGATTCCTGCTGTTTAATGCAAACATTGGTGACACGTAATACTGTGGCTTCCTTTATAAGTAGCCTGGGAATGGTTAAGTAATTAACAGATATCCTTAAAAATGATTAATCAGCTGTAGTGTTGCTAATACTTTGGAAATGTTTATAAAAGCAATTTTGTCATTGCAATTATAGCAGTCATGGAAACCATGGATTTGGATAAACACTTTGAAATCTTTCAAGTGATTGTCAAAGCTCATCTAATGTGCTAGATTCTTTATTTCATATAAAAATGCATAGCATGTCGCATGCTAGCAATCAGCGCACCCATTGTGCTCTCTAGCGGTTGTCGTTAAGCATCTGTAACCCAGCTAATGAAAGAAGTGGGTATGTGCCAATGAAGTTGGAAATGGCTTTAGCAAGTGTACCCAAAGTGGGAAATATAAATACTAAGTAGAGAAACAAAAGGCTTCCAGATAAGGTATTTCATGGCATAATGTTTTGCATGACCTATTGTGTTTCCATGGATCTCAAGTGAAAACAAGCTGTGACAGCTATTGTGGGAGTGCTTTGCATAAATGGAAGGTCTGAACACTTGAATCTGTGCTAGAAAGGGCAGCTGAAGGGCAAAAAACATTAAATATGATATTTCTATCGAGGCAGAAAAAGAGTTGCATTGCAGCATAGACGTTTATTGACAGACTTTTTGCACTGCTAGCGTCCTACTTTGTGTCCAAGACCAACCCTTCTACGACGAGGGATTTATGAAAAGCATTGGTGTCAAGTCTTGTTGGGATCAAATGCAACAAATGTACTTATCAATGCTGTTAGAAAGTCATGTGAATGGCCTAGAAGAATGATTGTGAGGTTGTCTTGGGGTTAATTTTGCTGCAGGTGAGAAAACAGATGCTGAAGGCTGTTATGTCTAAACAGTTGTAGACTCCCAGAAATGTAGGACTGGAAGGGATCTCCAGAGTTAATGTAGTCTAATCCCCCCATCCGGCCAGGATCAGGCCTATCCAAACCATCCCGTGTACATCCTTGTCTAACCTACTCCTCAAACTACATAATTAATCCAGCTGCATAACTACAAGGCATGCTGCCCAAGGCACCTTGTAGCATTGGTCATGCTATTCTTTCGCTGACACTTCATACAGTAGAGAGGAGAGGAAGCAAATTTGGAATTTGAGTCTCTTCTGATAAAACTGAGTTGATTGTAGGCATCATGAACTTCAAGACTGTGAGTGAGACAGTGCGAGTTCAGAAATACTGTATTTCTTCTGAAAAAAAAATCGTTGTTTTTGTTGGTGACAGTACTGCATGTCGGGCAGGAATATGGGAACAAAGCAGGGTCCGCATCCCGTGCATTTGCTCAAGTTAGCAACTGATACAGGGAGAAAATACATTTGTTGCATGAGTAATTTATTATGGCCCTAAAACAGGCCTTTACTGCTGCAGAGCATGGCATCATCAGCACCTCCAGGCAAAGGAGAAAGTGCCCACAATACCACCTTCGTTCGCATTCACAAAGTAGAACTGCTTGTTTGAAGCTGTCTTTTACTTCAGCCTTTTCAAGGTGTATCGGAAATCTTTTGAAGAAGAGCTTGAGCTAAGTTGTAGCTCACTTAAGAGTTTGGTCTCCTTGTGTGGATCTGCAGAAATATGTAGTGATACTTCAGCAACAGAAGTATTTACCCCTGGTATAAAATCATAACATTATAGGGCATCTATATACATGCTCCAGGCGGGGG